GAGACCCGAGACCCGAGATTCGGCACTCAGTAGTCAGTGAAATGAGTACAGAAATACATAAGATAATACACATTGTTCTCAGAAATCACAAGTTTCAAATTTCGATTTGTGAATTGAGTCTCAAGTCTCAAGACTCGAATCACCGAGTACCAAGTACCGAGTACTGAGTACCGGGTACTGACACCCAACACCCGACACCCGACACATGGAATTCGGCACTCGGCATGTAAGAGAGTTGAGTTTGACATGAGCTAAGATTTTGTTTCAAAACATAAAAGCACTCATAAAAATAAAACAAGCAATAAGGGACAAGAATAACATCTGAAGTGAACGATGAACGGCAGAGCAGCTTCCTGGCTAAATCCTGCACAGCATCACAACAGGGACCAAGTTACCACAACACTATCCAGCTAATAATGCACAATCAATGTTCACTTCTGCTGCCACCCATTTTGTCGTCTTGAAATACCGAGACCCGAGACCCAAGATTTGGCACTCGGTAGTCAGTGAAATGAGTACAGAAATACATAAGTAAGATAATACACATTGTTCTCAGAAATCAAGTTTCAAATGTTGATTTGTAAATCACGAGTCTCAAGTCTTGAGACTCAAATCACCGAGTACTGAGTACCGAGAACTGAGTACCGACACCCAACACCCGGAATTCGGCACTCGGCACGCGAGACGAAAGATTGGAAACAAAACTCAAAATTCGAAACTCGAAAGTACTGACTACCAAATACCAAGTACCGAGTACCGAATCTTGGGTCTCGGGTCTCGGTACTCGGTACTCGACACGATGCTCGAAACTCATAAAACTGTTTTGAATCACCGAGTACTGACTACCGAGTGCTGAGACCCGAGATTCGGTACTCGGTACTCGGTAGTCAGTACTCGGTGATTCAAAACAGTTTTACGAGTTTCGAGCATTGTGTCGAGTACCAAGTACCAAGTACCGAGACCTGAGATTTGAGTGCTTTCGAGTTTCAAGTTTCAAATCTGTCATCTCAAGTGCCGAGTGCCAAATTCCGGGTCTCGGGACTCGGAACTCAGTGACTCAATCAATGGACTGGCAGAGGTTACATTCATTGAAAACTTGTATATACATCTATCACTATGCAATTATGTAGCCATGTCAACCTCCACAGAAGGCTCTTCAACCTTCACCTCCACCTCAACATCCATGTTGCTGGAAGAGTCATATTCTGGGACAAGGTTGCTTGGATCACCTGGGTCCACAATTTCGCCGGGCGCATCTGGATCCTCTGGATGAACAACTTGGTTGTAGTCGAACAGGAGACCCTCAATGACAGAGGCATCCGGCAATGTCGGGGCTGCAGGTGTGGGAGCCATTGTTTCCATACTGAGATCAATCAGAGGAGGGAGTGCAGATTCTGGGGGTGACATGGTGCGGGGGCCGGATTGATCAAGCAACAAGGATGTTGCAGGGGCAGGAGTGTCGGGAAGTGGGAATGAGGGGTGCCGGTCGATGATTTCGCGCCTAAGGCCTTCATGAAGGCGTTGCAGGGTGTCAATCTTACCATCCTGCTCTGCCACACGAGCCTCGAGAAGAGCGATTCGAGCTGCGCCATCTCGAATCACAATGGACATGGCATGGAGATCTGGCATGGGCACCCCAAGTGCTGCAGCAGGGACTGCCGACCTGGAAGATGGAAGGGCTACAAGGGAAAATGAAGGTCAGACGGTGAAGAATGAAAAACTCGGGTGACTTACGAGCTGGTGCAGGTGCAGGTGCAGGTGCAGGTGCAGGTGCAGGTGCAGGTGCCTTGACAGCAGTGATAGTCTTGCTGCGACCACACGTCTGGGTCTTGGGAGTGGTCACAGCAGTGACACCAGAAGTTCCGGCTGGGCCACAAGACTGACTGCGAGTTCAGGCCCTGGACTGGGAGGCAGGGGAAGCTTTGGAGGGGGCAGGAGTTTGGGATGTGGGGGGAGCCTTGGAGGGAGTCTTGGAGGAAGCCCTGGATGGTGTTCTGGACCTCGTCTTCCGGGTAGTAGAGGAAGAATGATCGCGAGGAGGCGGGGATCCCATAGTCGCAGGGGTGCACTTGATCTTCTTTGTTGTGCAGTAGACGCACGACATACATGGAGCCCCGGTCCTCTTGTCCGGCTGAGTTGCGCAAGGCCAGTTGTGCTTGTGGCAAGCATAGCATGGGCTGTTCTGTTGGTTATATTAGTGTATGGACACTCGAGATATTTCAAAGTACTCACCGGTCCAGGAATGAGAATGTCAACTGCAGGGACGACTGGGGGTGCCTGCACTGGAGGTTCGGGAGTGGGCTGGGAGGGCTCCACAACTGCTGCGTGACTGCCGGCAATCACCTGGTATAATGTATGGACACACCCGAGTCCCGGACACATAAATGACACTTACTGTGGCAGGGCCAAAGGGCTTCTTCTTGGGTACCCGGGGCGAGTGAGGCGAATCAGGCGTCCTTGCAACAATTGTGGAGAGCTGGGGAAGGACAACCTCCAGGACTCCACCCAAAAGTGGCTACACGAAAATGAGAGACAATAAAAAAATGAACAAGACGACATACCTGCATAACCGAGTCTTCATCATCTTCTGACTCCATGATGGCCTTGGACTTCACAACGTGAGCAGACCTCTGACGCTTGTGACTTTTCATCGCGGATTTCAGGGGTTGGGAGGAGAGTCCAGAAATCAAGGGGGACTTCCTCTTCTTACTCCCTTCTGCCTCGGGGTCTGGGTCAGCGAAGACGGCCTTACCTTTCCCCTTGTCCTGGGACTCGGTGGTGGGGTTGGTGGAAGAGCCGGCGACATTGCCGGCAGGGATGGCTGGGGAGGGAAGATTGACAGGAATCGGACCTGTGGATGGGGGGGCAGCAGTTGCGAGATTGAAGGTCTGGTCGCCTAAGGCGTTCCAGGCGAGGACCTTGGGGTACCAGGTGTGCCTCAGAATGCGAGGATCGTCATACCCGATGGAGTGCCAGTCTGGCCAGACCTTGGAAACCATGTTCCGGATGCGCTGGAGCTCTTTGGAGCATGAAATGATGAGGCCGGGAATAGGACCATCCCCGGACCCATATTCCTTGGCTACATCAGACTACCAAGATGTTAGAGAAGAAAAAGCACCCAAACAAAATACATACCACAAGTGTAGCAACCTGTTTTCCCAAAGCCGAGTGGCTGGGACTCGGGGGAATCTGCCGGGTGGCACTGATGATGGCCATGATCTGGGCAGCGGATGCCTTGAGATGGGTCAAAGAGTTGTCAACTGGAGTGGACATGATGAGTGGGTTGAGAGATTTAAAGATCTTGAAATCAGATTGAAATCAGTTATCAGAAAGATGAAGTTTCAAACAAACAAGACATTTGATGGGCGATCCACAAAATCATTTATTGTTTGTGTTTGTTTGGTCGTGGTTCAACTTTCGGCAATTGCCGGCTTTGTGTTGAACTTCGAAGTTTTTTAGATCATCAGTCAATCAGTCCACCAATTCTCCACACATGAGTTCCCATCCAGCCGTTAGATTTAATGACCCACCGGTGACCGACTATAATTCTATGGATGTGGATGACTCGTCTATGGGCCGGGCATCACTAGGTATGTTGTATTCTTATCATGCCTTATCTATTCACCGGGTATCCCTTAGATGACTTAGATGACTTATACCTTGGGCCGGATGATGACATAGAATATGATTCTATGTCATCCGGACCCCCGGATGCGTCAGCTGCAATACCCGGTATGACTATACATTCCTGATGACCTGGGATCACCATGCATGCTAACTGCACCCTTGAAGATCAATCACATCCGGGTCAAGCTGATGATGCCAGCTGTCTCATTGATCCAGACTTGTACCTCGGGCCTGAGGATGATGTCATTGATGTTGATGAGTTGCTGGACTCTGCTGATCCTCCCACTTTTGCTCCGGCTACCTCAGAGGTGTCTATTTCATGTGGGTCCATTCATTCCAGACCATTATTGAGACTGATCTTATCTCCCAAGCCGACAAATCATCTACCGAACTCCCTGGAGACCAGCCGGAGCTCAATATCAAGGATGTACAGTTGATGGTCCGGGAGCTCCATCCTTTCGGAAAATACCAACACCCAGAATGTGAGTATCTGAAAGCAGAGCATTTATCTTTGTGCTAATCTTTCTGGAAGACCAATCCGTCCAAGATCGACTCCATGATTACAAACACCGTACTGGAGGTCTTCCTGATCCTTCCATCCAACAACTAATCGAGGCCGAGCGTCCATTCCGAACTGCTTGGGCAGAAACATCCGACAAACTGAAAAAAGCTGATGCAGACCTGCAGAGGTTGCAAAGAGTTGAACAGATGAGCATTGAAATGCTCAAGGTAGTAGATTCCATGATTGAACACTTTGAAGAACAACTGACCATGTAAATTACTGTATTGCAACCTGTGAATTTTCATTGACATCCCCACATCATGTACACTACCAATTTTTCAATACATGTCCCCGGGTGTCGAACGGGACTCGATACACGATGGTCGGGATTTGATAATTGGGACTCAACACTCGGCACTCGATAGTCGGGACTTGATGTTCGGGACTCGATGGTCAATACTCAGGACTTGATGTTTGATATTCGGGAGTCGATAATTGGGACTCAACACTCAGCACTCAATATTCGGGACTTGATGTTTGATGCTTGGGACTCGACACTCAATAGTCGGGACTCGGTGTTTGACGAATCTCGGGGTTTGGGACTTGAGGTTCAATAGTTGGGATTCAATGTTTGTGACTCAATAGTCGGGACTCAATAGTTGGACTCAATAATTGATATTCACTAGTGGGGACTCTGCATATCATATTAGGTCAGATATATGAAAGTTACACATTGACATGTAAATACAAGCAGGTAATGGCAGGCAGTGTAGTATCAGCCCATTACTTCTTTCCCCTTGCTCTCGTCACTTGAGTGCTTGTGTCCAATGGCTGCTGTGTTGACTTACTCCGGGTTGTCCTCGCTGATGGCTCAATCACCACTTTCTTTCCCCGCATGTTCTTCAGGCGCCGGCGACCTATTGACTCGTTCGGTTGCACCATCCTCCTGAACATTGCGAGTGACTCTCGCAGTCAGCCCAGTCAGGAGGTCGCCCATTCGCGATGTCAGCAGTGCACCAGTCTTCCCTGCATTGACCGGGCGAGGCTTTGGAATTGCATGTGGGACCGCTGTCCCTTCATGTGCTGTCGAAGGACCAGGCTCTGTTCTGGGTCTCTTTTGCGGGGATCTACCTTCCTCTGTGTCATCATCAGCATCATCCTCCATGTGATGAGTGTCGTCCTCGGGATTGCTCTCTGGATCACTCTCGTGATTGGCCTCGGGATCACTGTCAGTTTCGGTCGCCGAATTCCGAGGCCTTCGGATCATAACTCGTCTGGCATTACGAGTCCGATGAGAAGGTGAATTTCCGGATACAACCGAGGCTACCATGTCCCCATCTCTGTTCCTCCATGCTTTGAACAGGAATGTTGGACCTTCGCCTTTCTCCTGCCGAGCATACCAGAAATTCAGTAAGGCGGTCGTGTCCCAATGTTGCAACTTCGAAGGCTCCTTCAAGTCCACATCCGCCGGAAGATACGTTCTTGCCACAAAGTCATCCTGACTTTGTACGATGGCGCTCCATGGCACAACTGCCTTGACAATCCCAGAACAGATACCTGTATAAATGCATTCAACAATGTTCGCGTGTTGCGACGACGGACTCACGATAGTGCAATGTGAGAAATGCTCTGACGATGGCTTTCTTCTCCTCGAGTTTCGTCTCGGTGATGTCAGGAAGCACCGGCATCCCATCCCATCAGTTCGAGTTCGAAAGCAGGCTTCCTGATTCTCTTTCGACCTCCATTCACCTGTCACCCACCATCTCGTGCCCCAGCACCTATCATGACAAAGATCAACCAATTCATTCCAGTAGCCAGAGATCAAACACTCACCGGAATTGTTCTGCGCGTACTCCTGCCAAACTTGCTCTGATGTCCTCCCAGTCCTTCGTCTTCATTGAAACTTTCCCCATCTCCTAATGCCTCGTTATCATTGTGCCTGCATGAAATGTATTGAGATCGAAGATCTGGATGACAAAATTGACTTACATCCCGAACAGCACCTTCTCCCTGTTCATTCTTCCATGCTGACATCACCAAACACTCTCATCCCGCATTGCCTCCACATCTCCTTCGAAAGTGCTCCATATACGCCGGTCCCTTCTTACGAGCCACTTGTGCTTGTATCTCGGGAGGAGGAAGAAGTTGCTGGACCATTCTTCAGCCGTGTCTTCTGCCTCTCCAACTCATCATCGGACAATTCAGCCATTGACTCTTTTTTACAGCCCGCCCTGATAATGCTTGAACATACCGGGAACCTCCTGGCTTTGCCCCCTTGGGAGCAAATAGCTGGCAGCCCTAGCTATGGTAGTGAAAACTGCCCTCTTCTCAATCCTTTTCGCCGAAGTCCACTCAGGAAGGTAGTTCTTCAACTCTGAAATTTCGTTATCCGTGAGCTTCTGTGTCTGTGGTTGACGTGCCCTATGTCGTCCAGAAGTGGAAGTCAACTGAGTGGAATGACCTGATCTTGCCATTGTGAATGAGATTGCAGAAAGGGTTTGAGGATGAGCAAGGTGGAAGTATAACGGTGACAAGTTCAACTTTGAGCAAAGCCTAACAGTGGTTAATTGACCCATATTGGACGCAATCTGTTATTGGAAATGAATTTGTAATGACACATCAAGACCACATAAGATCACATTGCAATAACAATTTATTCACATTTCTGCGCTCGTGCTTTGCTTGCAGCCTTAGAAAATAAACATGAGGATAGGTAGATGCACCCACTGCAAAGATCCCACAGGGTAGAAGCAAGGGGAAGCAGCGGTAGGAAAATTTGGGTCAAGGTCCCACTTGCAAGCACAAAAAGACGTGCATACAGGTCTATGCCTAGCTCTCCCCCAGAATAACCAACACTTCGGCCTGTTGAGGCACCACCTCTTTGGGAAGACATTCCTGACAATACTTACAAGCAAGACCAAGGCTCATTTGAGCCTTTGCAACTCCCAAAAACCATGGCAAGTTCATGTAAAATGTTGCATCGCAATTCAAATGATAGCTAAGTATAACAAATCCAGAGTCAGAATGACTACCTCAGGCAATGGCTACCAAGGTAGGAATCATATCTGCATCACCTCCTGGATCGAGAAGCGCCACCAGAAGATAGGAGATGCATCATCTGCGACCAGGATGGAATATACAAATGTCAAGACTGTCTTGGGGAGCCACTCTATTGCACTGGCTGTTGCAGAAGTCAACATCTTGCAATCCCTTCCATTGGATCAGTCAATGGAATGGTCAATTCTTCGAGCAAAGTTGTCTTGCTCACGTCGGACTCATCACACCTCGGTCATGAGGGCAAACAATGTCCGGTGTTACGGACTACGGATAGGTGGGATGTTTCAAAGAAGACGACCGGAAGACCAGCTTGAGCCTGAAGATTACCATCTGTGTCGGGACCCGAGTTCCAGCCAAAGGAAAACACCATGGCCATCATTGACAAGTCCAGAGTTCATTGCCTCCGGGTTCGATTGCTGCGATGTCCAAATGCCATGAGTCCAGACCTTCAAATGTTTCCAACATGGATTTTTCCCGCTTCATTTAACAAGCCGA